CGGAAAACCCACTATCACCCCAAGCCTCACTTTCAAGGTGTGAGCTTGTGCATTTTTGCAAAAAAATGTTCCAAAAACATTCAAATCAAAGGAAAGCTCACGTGGAAACATCACGGAGGTGGAAAAGATTCATGAAAATGTTAGTGCACAAGGGGCTTGTGGCTGAATTTTCAAATGGCGTTATCCCGCTAAGGGCTCTTCGACAAAGAAACCGAAGCGCTCTTTTGATAGTTAACTTATTGGTTTTGTCTTCTGTTTGTGCTCTCTCCATTAATTTCAGCTTGCCATATATGCTTCTAAATGGTTCTTTTTTGGCCTGCGTCTTGTCAGAGACTGTATTTTCTAAACCCCTGGATGTATTGAAAGGTCAGTTAACGAAAGGGCCCTTCAAATTTTTTTTAATGTTTTTTTTTCGTGTTTCTATTCTTTCTCAAAATGATCTTTACAATTTTCTTCGCTTTCTTTAAGGATCGCACAAACTGCCTCCAGTCCTCTCCAGTTCGTTTTATCATTTGTGTCTTTACACTATTTTGGGTTTGGGCCTCAGAAGAGATGCTGTGGCACAAGAAGATAGCCTGGTAATTTTAGTATGAACATGTCGTGATAAGATTTTTTCTCTTTAGTTTAATTAGTTTAACAACTATTTTCCTTGACTTTATATGCAGGAAGAGAAGAAAGGAAAGCTTCCATCTGGACTCGTTCTTCAGAGTTTTTCGTTTTTCTCCAACATTTCCATATGCATCTCATTTCTACTGCTTCTAATGTGTTCTTCCTCGGACTATTGGGAGCTGTGGGTAAGTGGTGTTTTAAAAACTATAAACAACCGCAACAGCAAATTGTTTTGTTTTTTTCATGAAGATTTTCTGTCTTTTCCCAGATTTCTTTTGCCGTTCTCCTATTGTTATTTCTGAGACCGGAAGGATTGCCTTATTTAAGAGGCATTCGTGTTCGGTTCACGCCAACCTTACCTGCGACAGTAGCGTTAGCTCTGTGTATGTACTCTCGGACAGTAACTGAAGCATTACCAACGCAACTATCTTTCTTCTCAGTTACAGGTTAGCACACATCATTGTTAATATTTGATAACCACCTGGTAAAGTATAACCGTGTGAAGGGGTCTGAGAACTATAGAAGCGTCATACTGGAATTCACAACCTCGGGCTTGCGGCGGCTGTGCCGTAATGGTTATGTGCGGAAGCAAATAGCAAATGATTTTATTTCTCATTTCCTTATCTTCTCATACTGTAGACTGTAAATTTAAGTAAATAGAGTTATGCCAAACCTAATTTCGTTTCCTATCGAACCGAACCTAGACCTTTCCATTCAGATTCCAGCGCGCTAACTGGCAACAAATAACAAAACAGCCGAGGGAAACCTGCCAAAAAGCTTGAGGAAGCAATAAATTGTTTCGTTCTCCGATAGCAAGGAATAGCAGTTCGTTCTTCCTTTTTCTGTTACGAGAATACACGACATACATATCCTTACTTTTCTTAGTCCTGAACATTTTTATAGTTTCTTTAAAGTATTTTAACTTTATTCTACAGGTTACGTTTTGGAGATGCTTATCTTGGTCAGTTCCTTACCGACTTATGTAGTCTTAGTGTGCACGATATGGCGCGCCGGCGAGATGTCATTGGTTGAACAACAACTGGTTATGTTCACGGCTCCTAGCAACGTGGTGCTTTTGATTTACTGCAGCACTCTGTCGGCAAAAATCTTAGGCTTTGTAGGAATTGCTGCAGTCTATTGGCTGTTTTATCATGTAAAGATTACTGAAAGTAAATAGAAATTTTTGAATTTAGAAATGCGCTGTTATCCACAATCTTTTAACTGCCTAGACACAGATGAACTGGTAAAGTCTCGTCAGTCAACTGTTATGATTGTCCATTTCAACGGTGCGATAAGCGAATGGGGTGACTTCCGCGTTGCTTAGAGTTAAATTGCGCTGTAGATATTCGGGTTATCTATTTGCTACATCATTGAAAGATCGTGGTGAAAGAGAAGAACTACCAGTGATCGTCATCAAGACAATACGCCCCGTATTCTATTTTTGGTGTAACAAAAAACCCGCAGTTTGGTTATCTACTCGCTTATTTGGCTTTTTGTATGCATCTCAGAATTTCATTCTAAAAAGCTACACCACTGTGACAACTCATTTCCAGACTGTTTCATCTTCATCTGCAGTGAATCGAACAAGATCGTCTGTTCAAGTTGGCAGACTGATTGACACGACATGTAGGTGCGATAATATGGTAGCAGTAATGCCAAAAAAAAAACCTTGCTACTTCTCTTGTCTTGCCTAAGTGTTGGAAATTAGGGAAAAGTACCTCTCCGTTCTTTCGGCGGTATAATGCACGCAGCATTTTGCGCGCGCAGCGTTCTACTTTTGAAACAAGGCGGTAAGGCCTTTTTTAAAGAAAGACTCCAAAGCTAACGTTTTGTTTACATAGCCTTAGCGGTACTATCATTACTGTTCAAAATTTACAAAAAGCGACCTTGACTTTACGGCAATTACTGATTTACAGGGAGATGAGGTGATCTCCATTATTTGTAATTATTTAATTCACGAGGCACGACGTCAAATGTACTAATTCGTTATTGTGACGTAGAATTAGTATTGCGAAACTTTTCTTCACATTAGGAGTTGAGTTGCAGTGCGGAGACAAAATTTTCTTATAAGAGAGATTTTCTACAAGGAGAAATGAAATTGTGGGTCGGGATTGTGTTCTTGGTTGTGTCGACACAACTGGGAATCAATGCTCGGCCCATTCCAAGATCAAAACCACTACTAAATGATGGTAGGTAAACATTCCTTGGGTTTCCTACTGAATAATATACATGAAAAAATTACTCAGTTCTGATTGGTTAAGATAAGTGTAGTTTTCAGGTAATTCAATATAGAAGAGGGTTAATTCAGTGCAAAGAAGTTACAAACCAGACATTCTGATTGGTCAATAATCAAATGCGAGCCTTGGATGTCGCAACATTTGGATACGCTGAAAATTTGCGAGCGAACAATGGCCGGCGTTTTGAGTAGGTTTTCTTTCGCCACCGTAATAGAGCAGCTGAGAAACAGCTCTAATAACGAAAACACTACCTTTTGGTTTTCGGTTTGGAAAAAGTGGTGTTTAGATAAAGGAATTGCTAAGGAAATCGAAAATTACGAGCCGACCCAGCCTAACACTTTACTCGAGCCATTCTACGCCAAAATTAAAAACAAACATGGTTAAACCTCGCAAACGACGATTCCATTTCATCGAAAGTGTTTCGGACACAGACTGAACAATTCCTTGAACTGTTTCGCCGGACTTTGAACTTTTTTGCGTCTTAGAGATGTGAAAATATTGTATATTATTGTTTTGATTGTACGCGGTTGTTTTGACCGAACGCGCACTGTCACTTGCAGGTTTGAATAAATTATTTTTGCACTTGATGCGCGCGCTTTGCTTCTGCATAATAGGCCATCTTCCAGTTGTGTACTTAGTTGCTAAGCCTTTGATTTGGAGTGAGGCTGAAGGTGACCTTGTTGTGGTAGAGACCAGTATCCAATTAGCATGATAACAAAGTAATTTGCATTTGAAAAGCAGCAAGGTTTGTATCATAACAAGGTCACCCTTAGCCTCATTCCTGTTCAAAGGCTTGGCATCCAAGCACACAACTGTAAAATGGACTATTATGACAAGCTATCTCGTATTTTTTCATGTATATTATTAATACGAAATCACATGATTTTCTTTGTGCAATTTGGAATAAATAAGCACTCGTTAATTTTTTCAAAGACCACAAATTGCACTCGCCCAAAGGGCTCGTGCAATTTTGTTAGTCTTTGAGAAAAAATTACTCGTGCTTATTTATTGCACTCGAAATCATGTGATTACCTATATAATAATAATTAATAGGTCAACCGGGTATATCGTCTTGTGGGGTCACCAACCAATGACTGGAGCTTATGAACGAAGGCCAATCATTGTAACATTATTAATTATAGAAAGTGATAGCACAAAGTTGGCAGACGTATCCTGCTTCAGGCGCAGGAAAATGTAATCGACAAGATCATAGCGCGAATTACTGTGCCAGACATAGAACTTGGTAGGGCAAAACCAAAGTCAGTAATAAAAAACAGCTCTAATCGCCGAAGGTCATGTTGATAAAGCATTTTTAAATTCTAATTTCCTCATTTTTTATGCGGTTGGGGAGGGTACATCGAACACTAGGGGTGAATTTGTTCGACATAATCAGTAATAAAAAGAGCTGCACGCACTTCTTTAATGGATTGCGCGACCCAAGTGATGCTAAAATTTTATTGAGTAGTTTATCTGAAGCAAAGTGACTAATAAAGCAACGACTGCTGAAAAGCGCTTGTGTTAAAACTGCTTTTAAGTAGGTTTTAAGTACTTTGCAGCCAGCTTTCAGCGTTTGTCCAGGAATGAAACAGTCGAACTGAGGTGTTCAAAAGATAGGCTGTATATCCATGTTAGACAACTGTCAATAGGCAGTAATTGATGTAAATTCCCGACAACTTTCAATTTTTCAAAACCTTCCCTGATTCTTTGGCAAGTCTGTAGTGTTGCGACCGTTGCTATGGCTCCAGGGCGTTAGCCCACGAAAGTCCGTGATGTGTACATACGTTTTTTTAACTCTGTTATTCTAAGTTGTTTAGTTTCTGATACTCTTACGTCGTGCGCGTAGATTTTCATTTTAAGGTAGTTAAAGTAAAGTACTCTTAAGCTCACGATAAGCCAGTTCTGGCTCGGCGAAATGGTATCAAAGGTTTCAAAGAGTAACGGTAGGGTTCAGAATGATAATTTACGTATGGCTGGACACTGACACTAAATTTCCTAAAGAGTAGTTAAGATGAAAAGCTATCAGCCAACAGTCTTCCACAGTCTGATGACGTCAGTTTTAGACTTCCCTAGCATTAAAGGTAGGTACCCCGAAAATGATCCACCTCCGAATGAAGATGGTATTAACGACTCTTTGCATGATAAAGGTGGAGCCGATGACGATGAAGAAGCCAACTGGACTAACGGTGATGATTACAACGAAAATGCCGAGTGGAGAGACAAAGAAGGAGGTGACTCTATCGATGGTGAAGGTAGGCCCCCACGACCTTGAAGATTAACATCGGAATTGAGATGATACTAATGACCATCTTGGTGCTATAGGTGATCCGGATGACGACGAAGACGCAGAGTGGAGAGACGGTGATTATGATCACTCTATCGATAGTGAGGGTAAGTTCCGTACAACAGACATTGACAATGACGTTGATACAAATGAATCCCTAAGTACTTAAAGCAATCCCCATGAAACTTATCACGCAGAATCCACATCGGAGTAAAGATGATACTAATAACCCTCTTTGTGCTTAAGGTGAGCCCAATGACGATGAAGATGCCAAGTGGAGCGACGGTGATGACTTAATCAACAGTGAAGGTAAGCCCCATGAAAGTACGGGTTTATATGAGAATGACACTGATGCTAATGATATCCCTGCTTAAAGCACTAACAGCTTACTTTTTGTTAAAGGTGAGCCGGATGTCGATGAAGATGCTGAGTTAAGTGGCGGTGATCGTGATGAGTCTAGCGATGCTGATGGTGAGCTAGAAAATGAGAATTTATATGTCGATAACGTCTATACTAATGACCATCTTGGTATTTAAGGTGAACTCGATAGAACTGAAGACTCAACTGAAAACAATGATGATCCTGATGATTACTTCGGTATTGAGGACGAGCACAGTGATTATTCTAATGGTAAGCTTCCTGAAACTCAAAATTTTTTTATCAGAATAAGAATGATACTTATGTTACCTTTAGTACTAAAGGGGAGCCCCAGATAGTTCCACGAAACTTATAATGGTGAATAACCAAAGAGAGGGAGGACACTTACGTTTCTCTTGATGCTCTAGGTGAACTAGATGGCGATGAAGATATCGAAAGGAGTGAAAGTGAGGATGAGGACCTCATCCATAGTGAAGGTAAGCCTCAGAAAACTTTTTCGTGGAGATTGACATCGAAATAAAGATGATACTAACGGCTCTCATTGTGCTAAAGGTGAGCCAGATGGCGATGAAGATGCCGAGTGGAGTGACAGTGAAGAAGATGACTTCATTGATAATGAAGGTAAGTCTTAGGAAAGTAACACAAAGATTGACATCGCAATTAGGATGATGCAATAACTCTCTTTATGCTAAAGGTGAGCTGGGCGGCGACGAAGATGTCAAATGGAGAGATAATGACGATATTGACCTCGTGGATAGCGACGGTAAGACCCACTAAACTTATCATGAAGATTGACATGGGAATTAAGATGATACTATGGACTCTCTTTGTACTTAAGGTGAGCAAAATAGCGATGAAGATGCCGATTGGATAGACAGTGAAGATGATGACTTCATCGACAATGAAGGTAAGCTTAATGAAAGTAACATGGAGTTTGGCATTGGAGTTAAAATGATACAAATGACTATTTTTGTGCTAAAGGTGAGCCGGATGACGATAAAGATGTCGAGTGGAGAGATAGTCACGATGATGGCCCCGTCGATAGTGATGGTAAGCCCCATAAAACTTATCCTGAGAATTGACATCGGAATAACGATGACATTAACAACTCTCTTTATGCTACAGGTGAGACTGATGGTGATGAAGATATCGAGTGGAGTGACAGTGATGATAATTCTATTGATAGTGAAGGTAACCCTTATGAAACAAATCATAAATTCCACATCAGAACTAGAATTACACTAACGACTCTCTTTTTGCCAAAGGTGAGCCGGATGGCGATGATGATACCGATGGGAGAGTCAGTGACGATAATGACCTCATCAATAGTGAAGGTAGGCCTCATAAAAATTACCATAGAGATTCACATCATAATCAAGATGATGTAAACGGCTCTCCCTGTTCTAAAGGTGAGCCAGATGGCGATAAAGATGTCGAGTGGAGGGACACTAAAGATGATGACCTTATCGATCGTAAAGGTAAGCATTATGAAAGTAACGTGAAGATTAACATCGGAATTAAGATGATACAAATGACTATCTTTGTGCTAAAGGTGAGCCGGATGGCGATGAAGATGTCGAATGGAGAGACAGTGACGATGATGACCTCGTTGATGATGATGGTAAGTTCCCCGAAACTTATCCTAAAGATTAACATCGAATTTAAGATGATACTAACGACTTTATTTGTGCTACAGGTGAGCGAGATAGCGATGAAGATGCCGATTGGAGAGACGGTGAAGATGATGACTTCATGGATAGTGAAGGTAAGCTTTATGAAAGTAACATGAAGTTTGATATCGGAGTTAAGATAGCACAATTGACTATCTTTGTGCTAAAGGTGAGCCGGATGGCGACGAAGATGTCGAATGGAGAGACAGTGACGGTAATGATCTCGTCGCTAGTAACGGTTAGCCTAATGAAACTTATCATGAAGATTCAAAACGGAATCAAGATGATACTAACGACTCTCTTTGTGCTACAGGTGAGCCACATAGCGATGAAGATGCCAATTGGATAGATGGTGAAGATGGTGATTTTATCGATAGTGAAGGTAAGCTTTATGAAAGTAACATGGAGTTTGACATCGGAATTGAAATGATACAAACGGCTTTCTTTATACTAAAGGTGAGCAGGATGACGATGAAGATGTCGAGTGGAGAGACAGTCAAGATGATGGCCCCGACGATAGTGATGGTAAGCCTCATGAAACTTTTCATAAAAATTGGCTTCGGAATAAGGATGATATTAACAACTCTCTTTGTGCTACAGGTGAGACTGATGGTGATGAAGATATCGAGTGGAGTGACAGTGATGATAATTCTATTGATAGTGAAGGTAACCCTTATAAAACAAATCATAAATTCCACATCAGAACTAGGATTACACTAACGACTCTCTTTTTGCCAAAGGTGAGCCGGATGACGATGCAGATACCGATGGGAGAGACCGTGAAGATAATGACCTCATCGATAGTGAAGGTAAGCCTAATAAAAGTTACCATGAAGATTCACATCGTAATCAAGATGATGTAAACGACTCTTCCTGTTATAAAGGTGAGCCAGATGGCGATGAAGATGTTGAGTGGAGAGACAGTGAAGATGATGACCTTATTGATAGTGAAGGTAAGTCTTACGAAAGTAACGTGAAGATTGACATCGGAATTAAGATGATGCAAATGACTATCTTTGTGCTAAAGGTGAGCCGGATGGCGATGAAGATGTCGAATGGAGAGACAGTGGCGATGATGACCTCATTGATAATGATGGTAAGCTCACCGAAACTTATCATGAAAATTGACATCGGAATTAAGATGATACTAACGACCCTCTTTGTGCTACAGCTGAGCAAAATAGCGACGAAGATGCCGAGTGGAGCGACAGTAAAGATGATGACTTCATGGATAGTGAAGGTAAGCTTTATGAAAGTAACATGGAGTTTGACATCGGAATTAAGATGATACAAATGGCTTTCTTTGTGCCAAAGGCAAGCCGGCTGGCGATGAAGATGTCGAATGGAGAGACAGTGACTATGATGACCTAGTCGATAGTGATGGTAAGTCCCATGAAACTTTTCATGAGAATTGACATCGGAATTAGAATGATATTAACAACTCTTTTTGTGCTATAGGTGAGGCACATGGCGGTGAGGATCTCGAGTGGAGTGACAATGATGACATTTCTATTGATAGTAAAGGTAACCCCAATGAAAGTAATCACGAAGTTCACATCAGAATTACGATAATACTTACAGCTCTCTTTGTGCTAAAGGTGAGCCGGATGGTGAGAAAGACACCGATTGGAGAGACAGTGAGGATGATGACCTCATCGATAATGAAGGTAAGCCTCAGAAAACTTTTTCATGGAGATTGACATTGAAATTAAGATGAACTGAAGGCTGTCATTGTACTAAAGGTGAGCTAAATGACGATGAAGATGTCGAGTGGAGTGGCAATAAAGATAAAGACTTCATTGAAGGTAAGCCTTATAAAAGGAACATGAATATTGACATCGGAATTAAAATGATACAAATGACTATCTATGTGCTTAAGGTGGGCAGGATGTCGATGAAGATGTCGAATGGAAAGAGAGTGACGATGATGGCCAAGTTGATAACGATGGTAAACTCTCCAAAACTTATCATGAAGATTGACATCGGAACTAAGATGATATTAACAACTCTCTTTGTGCTACAGGTGAGCGAGATAGCGATGAAGAGGCCGAGTGGAGGGACAGTGAAGATGATGACTTCATGGATAGTGAAGGTAAGCTCTATGAAAGTAACATAGAGTTTGACATCGGAATTAAGATGATACAAATGGCTTTTGTTGTGCTAAAGGTGAGCCGGATGAATATAAAGATACCGAGTGGAGAGACAGTGAGGATGATGACCTCATCGATAATGAAGGTAAGCCTCAGAAAACTTTTTTATGGAGATTGACGTTGAAATTAAGATGATACTGAAGGCTCTCATCATGCTAAAGGTGATGGCGATGAAGATGTCGAGTGGAGTGGCAGTGAAGATGATGACTTCGTTGATACTGAAGGTAAGCCTTATGAAAGTAACATGAAGATTGACATCGAAATTAAAATGATGCAAATGGCTCTCTTTGTGCCAAAGGTGGACAGGATGTCGATGAAGATGTCGAGTGGAGAGACAGTGACCATGATGACCTCGTTGATAATGATGGTAGGCTCCCTGAAACTTATAAAGACTGACATCGGAATTAAAATGATACTAACGACTCTCTTAAACGACTCTCCCTGTTATAAAGGTGAGCCAGATGGCGATGAAGATGTCGAGTGGAGAGATAGTGAAGATGATGACTTCATCGATAGTGAAGGTAAGTCTTACGAAAGTAACGTGAAGATTGACATCGGAATTAAAATGATACAAATGACTATCTTTCTGCTAAAGGTGAGCAGGATGGTGACGAAGATGTCGAATGGAGAGACAGTGACGATGATGACCTCGTTGATAATGATGGTAAGCTTCCTGAGACTTAGCATAAAGATTGACATCGGAATTAAGATGATATTAACGACTCTGTTTGTGCTAAAGGTGAGCCAGATAGCGATGAAGATGCCGATTGGAGAGACAGTGATGATGATGACTTAATCGATAGTGAAGGTAAGATTTATGAAAGTTACTAAAGTTTAACATCGGAGCTAAGACCATACAAATGACTATCTTTGTGCTACAGGTAAGCAGGATAATGATGAAGATGTCGAGTGGAGAGACAGTCACGATGATGGCCTTCTCCACAGTGATGGTAAGCCCTATGAAACTTATCCTGAAAATTGACATCGGAATAAGGATGATATTAATAACTCTCTTTGTGCTTCAGCTGGGGCAGATGGTGATGATGATATCGAGTGGAGTGACAATAATGATAATTCTGTTGATAGTAAAGGTAATCCTTATGAAACAAATCATAAATTCCAAATCAGAACTAGGATTATACTAACGACTCTTTTTTTGCCAAAGTTGAGCCGGATGGTGATGAAGATATTGATGGGAGAGACAGTGAAGATAATAACCTCATTGGTAGTAAAGGTAAGCCTTATGAAAGTTACCATGGAGATTCACATCGCAATCAACATGATGTAAACGACTCTCCCTGTTATAAAGGTGAGCCAGATGGCGATGAAGATGTCGAGTGGAGAGATGGTGAAGATGATGACTTCATCGATAGTGAAGGTAAGCCTTACGAAAGTAACGTGAAGATTGACATCGGAATTAAGATGATACAAATGACTATCTTTCTGTTAAAGGTATGCCAAGTGGCGATGAAGATGTCGAATGGAGAGACAGTGACGATGATGACCTCGTTGATAATGATGGTAAGCTTCCTGAGACTTATCATAAAGATTGACATCGGAATTAAGATGATATTAACGACTCTCTTTGTGCTACAGGTGAGCCAGATAGCGATGAAGATGCCGATTGGAGAGACAGTGATGATGATGACTTAATCGATAGTGAAGGTAAGCTTTATGAAAGTAACTTCGAGTTTGACATCGGAATTGAGATGATGCAAATGGCATTCTTTGTGCTAAAGGTGAGCAGTATGGCGATGAAGATGCCGAATGGAGACACAGTGACGATGATGACCTCGTCGATAATGATGGTAAGCTCCCCGAAACCTATCACGAAGATTGACACCTGAATTAAGATGATACTAACGACTCTCTTTGTGCTACAGGTGAGCGACATAGCGATGAAGATGCCAAGTGGAGGGAAAATGAAGATGATGACTTCAGCGATAGAACAGGTAAGCTTTATGAAAGCATTATGGAGTCTGACATCGGAATTAAGATGATAAAAGTGATTATCTTTTTTGCTAAAGGTGAACTGGATGGTGATAAAGACACCGAATGGAGTGACAGTGAGGATGATGACCTCATCGATAGTGAAGGTAAGCTTCATAAAAGCTATTATGGAGATTAACATTGCAATCAAAATTATATTAACAACTCTCCTTGTGCTTAAGGTGAGCTAGAAGGTGATGAAGATATCGAGTGGAGGGACAGTGAGGATGATGACCTCATTGATAGTGAAGGTAAGCCTCAGAAAACTTTGTTATGGTGATTGACGTCAAAATTAAGGTGATACTAACGGCTCTGTTTGTGCTAAAGGTGAGCCAAATGGCTATGAGGATGTCGAGTGGAGTGACGGTGGTGATGACTCTATTGATAGTGAGGGTAAGTTCCATGAAAGTAAGGTTTTCTCTCTCAATAACGCCAAAAGTAATGAGCTCTTGGCATTAAAGGTGAATTTGATGGAACGGAAGACCTTGATCACCATGATGATGATAGAATTGACTACTCTGGTATCGAAGAGGAGCTCGTTGAAAATGAAGATTCGAATCAGAAAGAGGATACTCAGGACTCTTTCGATTTTGATGTTAAGCTTTGTTAAAGAAGATGAGCTCCAAGGTACGGGTGATTCGAATCATAAAGAAGATTTTGCTAATGACTCTTTATATATCTAAGGTGGTTCTGATGATAGAGATTGGGACCAGAATGAAGATGACTACTCTTTCGGCACTGAGGACGACCCTTATGAAAGTGAACATCCCAAACAGAATGAAAGAAATGCTGATGACTCCTCTTCTGAAGGTGAATCAAATGAGATTTTAGATTCAAATCATCACGTAGATGATATTGACAATTAATTCAAAACGATTGTAGATATCGAAGGTGCTCTCGATGCTAGAGACGACTTTCCAGAAACCGAAGCTTCAGATCCAGATACCGAAGATATTCGAAACGTCCCTAAATTTGTGGAGCATCACGCGCAATTTGAGGATACAGAGTGGAGTGATGATGATGACAAGGAGGGTTCTGGAGGCTTTGGAGTTCATAATAATAATGAAGGCATAGAAACTGCATGGTGGAATGACAACAATGAAAACACTTTCGATGAGTTTGAAAATAATTTGGAGGAAATCTGAAACTTAAAGTGGAATGAGGACTTTTCTTTTTTTTCATGATAATGATGTTAATTTGATAACTGTCAACTTGCTTTCGTGGAATCTATATTTGCGGGAGGGGGGTCTTTGATCAAGATTTTGCAGTGAAGGAAATATGTGGCCAATGAATGAGTGGAAATTTTGGTTTCTTTTTCTTAAAGTACAACTCCTTCTTCAGTTCTGGTATTCATAACAATAAAACTCTTTGACAGGTTGACAACACAATTTCTCTAAAGTGTGATAATTCTCAACCAGTTCATGGATGATGGCCGATCATGCTTTGCGATAAATTTTTTGTCGTTTTCGCTCACTGCGTATTCACTGATCAAGCGCCTGACTTAGGCTATGGTTCAGTCGGCTTTAGGCTCAGCATCAAACATATTGTATTGCACAAATTTCATGTTATTAACGGTTCTCACTTTATTAGGAGTACCATTCATGACCACGCTGAAAGCAAAATGATTATTCTTATCTATTGCATACCCCATGCATTTTTGTCAATTTTTCCGTGTTTTTAAGTTTTTTTTAGTTATTTCTCCCTCGTTCTCAATCCTTTCTCTTCCGTGCGTCACAAGAGAATAGTTGCTCCCTCAATTCGTGGACTTTTCTACAGATGTTTTGGTTTGAGTTGTGCTAATTGTTGCCCAGGGAGAGCCAAGTGGTTCTGACAGTTATATACGTACACAAGCTCCTAATATGTCTAATCCAAACGAAGTGCGAAACACCAGATAGACGACGCATTGGTGTTTTTAATTCGATTACTTTCCAAGAATATTATATCGACTTTTTTTGCATTATGAAAGGTTAGCAACAAAACACAACAACTAAGGAAATGGCAGGTAACCATATATATCATGCATAGTGCAAGTAATCCAAAATATAAAGTCAGGGGCGCTCGTTTGTCGTAATCAAACTACACCGTGTTTTAAATCGGATAGATTAACAATTTATCGGCTGCTACACTTGTTTTTGCCGTCAAGTCAAAAGGTCAATATTTTATTGAAACATTGCACTCTTCAAAATACTTCGTTAGGAAAATAATACTTTTCTTTTCCGGCATTAATTCAGTTACTACTGCAAAAGACTAATTTATTGCTAGAGACGACTGTCTGACATTTTTACCTTCGGCAATTTTCTGCACCATGCGGCGATAATTACGTGATAAAGGGTTACTAAGTTGAGGTAAACACCTTTAAAAAGAACTCTTATTCCATGTTATGTTGTTGAAGCGATATCACTAAGCCGGTGGAGCTCAGTTTCCTTGATCATGTAAAGGAAAATATAAAATATAATTCGAAGACGAGTGGGTGAAAAGGGAAATAAGAGAGTTTATCTTCCCCCTCACTACTCCAACGTTAGCCTTCGCTCAATCTTGCGGTTAACCACTCACGATAAACAATTTCTCACGCGTGTCACTAGGTGCACGGACCAATATTTATCATTAAGTGCGCTTTAAAATGAAGATTAAGTCACCATTTCAATATCAAAAATAGAAAGTAATCTTTTCTGGTGTCTTGCTCTGCTCTTAACAGAACCTTGTGAAAAGTAATAAGCATTTGCTTATGGACATCGCCGTCACTGTCATACGAAACCACACCCACTCGTTTCTAATCTTTTCCTTCGTCAAAGCGCCTAATTAGGCTACAGTTTTCAAAACAGTGAATGGAGTCCAATTTACGTCACGTCAGGGCATATGTGGCAAGGGAAAATGCTTAAAAAACTCTTAATGGGGAGTGCATTAATAGTCCATTTTTGAGCCCATTGGTGAGCTGATTGAGAACATCAGCACCTACATCGAAGAATTTTAATGTGATATGCCTTCAGGGAATATTATCGCAGAATAGAGAAGCATTTCAACAGAGGTCTTATGCAATTCCACACAACCGAACTTTGGTTCAAGATTACGCGAGAGTCGAGCTATACGGTAATTATTCACGCTAGCTTAAATTTCGTAGCCCTTAAAGGACTAATTGCTGTTGCACAGACCGTAGAGGAACTAGGAGCTTGATTCTCTTTGCAAAAGCTAACTTTGATAAAACAGAAAATATGATGAACTCAAACCAGACGCAGCCAAATTTGACAGGAGCTTCAGATATAGGGACAGTAACAATTGTGCAAGTGACATCGTATGCGCTCATAACAATCCTCGGGACTGTTGCAAATTTACTGTTGTATGGTGCACTTCTGAGAAAAAAACAACGAAGCCCCAGCGAATATTTCGTGCTGAATCTGGCTTTTACCGATCTCATGACGTGTGTAGTTGGGATTCCTTTAGATATGGCCGAAATTTTAATCCAGCGTTGGCCATTTGGAGCCTTCATGTGCAAAGTTGTGTACCCATTTCAGACGGCTTTAATAGGAGTATCAGTTGCAACATTGACATGCATGGCCATCGAGCGATATCGGGCCATTGTGACACCTTTCAAGCCAATGATAACAAAAAGAATGGTTAAGGTTGTGATATCCGCTGTTTGGTGCATATCTGGTGCTCTTGTGTCACCTTACATCGTTGTTCTTGAACATAAACGCGAACAGCTACAGTGCACCGAAGCGTGGCCAAGTGAGAACTATCCAAAAATGTTCACTATGTGTGTTTTTCTACTCTTTTACTCTCTGCCTCTGTGTATTATTGCCCCGGCATACATTTGCATTGGATTCAGATTGTACTCTGACGGAAAAAAGATGAAACGATTCAGCATTAAACAAGGTGCTGGAAATCAGTCGTTCCGAAAGCTGGTGAGGCAGCGAACAAGGACGAATGTCATTATTGTGAAAACGTTTTTGTTCGGTGCTGTAGCGTTCTCCCTGTGCTTGTTACCCTATCACATTATGTGGTTATGGGCTGACTTCGGAAATGGTGCTCACTGGAGTTATTTTGGAGATGTACTGGTGTTTGCGAACGCTTTGGTGTATTTCAACAGTTTAGTGGACCCATTTATTTTTGGAGGCACTGTGATACGACACAATTGGAGTAAAACATGTGCGGCCATGCTTCAAAGGTGCTTGAATATTCAAATGGTTAACGAACGGCGAAAGACAAACAACAACGTATCCCTAAAACAACAAAACTGCGATAATTCAACAAAAAAGCCGTACTTTAAGCTTCCAAACGCCCCCATTATTTATACTTCGTCCGTATGAACACGGATCATTAATCTGGCTGTCAAGTTATGTTAGTTATTTAGCGCTAGAGATCGCTTGAGTCGCCAAGCGAGTAAAATATATCGGTTTGTTAAACTTTTCAGAACGTAAGGTATCAATGTTATTTTCTCTGGGGGCACAATTGTTGCGAAACTTCGATGTTAAGTTTAAAAAGCTGAACTTATTAACCTCTGAAAGATTTAACTAGGCCTTCGATTGCCAATTATTTTGGACCTCGCCGAGTAATCGATTCAGAGGCTTACATTTTATCTTTGATACTACGCGATAATGCTAAATAAAGATATGAATTGCTGCTGTTTGATAAGCACAATGATACCTTCTGCACTGATCGGGTGCATGTAGCTGTAAGTTATCTAAGGCCATATTTTGGAACGATAACATTTAACAGTAGTTTCGTGTAGTACCTACAGCCTAACGACCTAAGGTATACCCCCTATTTTGTAACATCAACCGTTTTGAAAGGGAGCTTTCATAAAATTTGGCGTCTGTTCTGGAAGATTTCTTGGATCCTGATGACACTTTTGTAACCAAAGGAAACTTTAATTGTCAAAATAAGTAAAAGCTTTCCGGGTAAGATGAACCACACCATCCTGTTTCCTGAAGAACACAAACCGTTCAACTTGCCTGACGTAAATAGGGAGCATTCTCTTTAATCTCTATCTCGTCTGATTTGTTTTTTTATTCCAATTATTATTATTTATTTTTACGAGTTGAGATTTCGTGCTCTTTTTGTGCATCTCAGTCACACCGGTGGCTGATAATCAGGAATACATCATTTCACATTTCAAAAATCTTATTATTTTCATAGTTCGTAAAGCGATCAAAGTTTCAACCAACTAAGATTACACTACAAAAGTGAACACAAATTTCCAGTTTTTAGATTACTTAAATAATGTTTGAGCAAAAAGACGAGTATTTGAAATCAATTGTTTCAATAACCGACAATTTGATCAATCGTTGTCCTCTTTCAGAAAAGAGCTCCAGACTACAGTCTGTAGCACAAGGGTATTATTTGGGTGGGTGCAGGAGGAAAGCGTGCGAAGGGTGCTGGTAGGGTGCGTGCGCACAAGTACTTGTGACATACTTCGTCCTTGTAATAATCAAATCCGTCCTTCTGGACTCCTAAAGCAAAAGGCTCTTCCTGCAGGTCAACACATTCTTAACATTGCATTTACAGGTGTTGTACCCAATTAAGCTTAATTCACGTTGTAATACTTCAGCTGCTGAGACGTGTTAGTGCCAACTAATTTTTCACTACCTACCAGAAAAACGGCCGTCGGTGAATGTAGACTAAAAATATTGCCAAACCAGACGAAACATTACAGAACTATTCCGAATCAACTCAATTTTTTTTAACAACGGTGTCTCATGTATGATTAGGATAATACGATTTCCTCAAAATCATCCCTCATTCTATGTGGATTAATCAACTTATTTACTATCATTGTAGACCATTGAGTGCTGGAATTATAGATATGGTATTTACGTGGGCTGGAGCACGCGATCTGGGCTTGAACTGTTAATCAAACGCAAGCTACAAGTTATCGTGGGAAATGCCCCCAAGGCAAGATAGATCTTTAAATCACGTTATATTAATTATAGTTTTACATTGTAAATTACTTAAAAGACAGATTAAAAGCAAAGAATTATGATAAAAATTCCATGAAAAGATGATGTTTTTTTTATTCATGGTTAATCCTAACAAAGCGAAAACAAATAAACCAAAACTAAACCAAAGAAAACAAAATAGAATCTCTAGAATACCAAAGCCTTCTTTTCTAACATCGGGCAAGAGGATCACTGCACACAAAGCTGAGTATCCCGCCTAAAATTTTTCAAAGTCCTTGGTGTAACACAACAAACCCCTCTGCAATCTTAACAGTGTCGTGATGTCCGTAAACGATTTGAAAAAATGCACAAAAAGGTAATTTAGCATTATCAACTGCGTTGACGACGTAAATTGGCCACCGTAAAGAGTTTCAAAGCTGACGTTTCGAGCGGTAGCTCTTTGAAACGTCAGCTTTTTAACTCTTTACGGTGGCAAATTTACGTTATCAACTCAGTTGATAATGCTAAATTACCCTGTTAAAAACTCCCATTGACGCGGCACCAGAGTTTCTGTAGAAACTTACCCCTTTTATTCAATGCATAAGAAGGTACTCTTTCTTTGGAAACGGTCCAACAAGCGTAACGAGGAGCGATTGGGGATTCATGATTCCTTTGCTTACGGATTTCAAATTCATGCTTTTATCTTATATGCATTTGTAACGGCCCTACTCTTGATAGATATTTTACACCCGAGCCAATCAGACTTATTTGATCTTGGCAATATTTACCAAAATCCCTCACCAAAGTAGCAACCGCGAAGCGAAGTAAACAAAACCCAAGCAATCCTGGATTGTTCTCGACGAGCATTTTTGAGTAAATTGTGCTAGCAAGGAAGGTTATTGTTCGAGAAGTAACCACAACCCAAATTATCATGAAACTGAACAGACTAACATAATTCTTCTTTAATGACGTCTGACTGAGCTTGTGACTTTTTTATTTGTTCTTTGATTTGTCAGATTACATTTTCTCGGCAGATACAACACCTGCACTAGCTGCCTGCAGTTTTGTGGGATTGATAAATTTAATACTTATATAGTTTGGTTCTGTAACATGTTTCCTACAGTGAGCACAGTTCAAAGTATAGTGTTTTGATTATCTGTGACCATTTCGCACCATTCTCTTACAGGGTTTCTCTTTCTGGAGGCTTTGAATTCTGTCTCGTTGATCGATTTTTGCTAGTCTTCATACTGGTCTACCTGAAAATTTATCAACGCGCACTCTGTTACTATATGAATTATTAAGCATTTTTTGCACACTATCTTAACTTAACTGTGATGGTGCATTCTGGATAGTTTTGCATGCACATAATTTTAACCTATCCTAACCTGAGTAAAGCTATTTTTTAGCCAAGCGCCATGATTTAGTATTGTTTCTCAAGTGCTAGCCTCTCAAATGAAATATCTGATAGGCTAAGAAATGCCTCTAAACTCTGTAGTAGGCATCGTCGTCAATTTTTTAAAAATATTTGTGCGAGATGCACATCCGATTTTAGTACCAGTCCACTTGAGTTCTATCACAAATGGTGTTATCTTATTCGTTTCGCCACTCGCTATCTATTCCGTGATAGACGCTGAGTAAAGTAAATGGTCGAATAGTGTCGGTGCAATTGTAAACAGAATAAAAATACTGAACTACACAGGCCAGTCTTGTTCAGTTTTGAACATGCAGTAAAATTGTCACCAGAGCAATCAGCCTATTCGCTCTCGATTTCTTTGCGTGATGGTTGATTCGGGCTTTGCTCTCACCAACTACTAAGTATCAAGCGAGGGAAATCTTTAGCCCATAATCTGATTGTAAAGTAATGACTCTCACCCACACAGCCCAATATTCTTTGTAAGTTTGCCTCGTAACACCTATACTACCATGTCACGAGTCACCACAAGAAAGAGTTTGACAATTTCAGTGGTAAACTAAAAGAGTAGAATTTTATGGATAGATTTTGTACCGCCGTGAATTTATTCGGGACGTAACCATATATATCAAGACGGTTTTATATTTCATTTTATTTCAGGGATTTGATCTGAGGTATCAAACTACAGTAAATACTTACTGTCTTAAAATGCAATATTTCCTTCTCAACTCTTGTGACTAACACAGCCAAGTGGGAGAAGTGCCCCATAGCGAGGTTAAAACTTAAAGGAACTAAAGAAGGTAAAATTTCTTGACACTGATAGAATTTTAACAGAAAGCTAGAAAAAAAGACGTGTGTAAAGTGATATTCCTTTGTTCACTCAGAAGAGACATGAAGACCTATTGCACTTGAACTCAATAATTTTAATAACTTCTGTCGGTGATCTGATAAGGACAGGCCGATTTTCTGAGAAATGCCTTCTTCAAATTCATTTATCAAGTTTAGACATGAAACATTGCATTGTAAATATAGTGCTTATCAGAGCTGAAGTATAAGCGACTTGATATTAGAAAGTTTATCAAACTAAAAATAATCTGAAAGTAAGAATTGTTAAGTCATTGTGCTTCACCAGCAAACGTAGATATCGATGTTTCAAAGATGAAAGTCTGCAGGAAACAAAGTTTGATGTTCAACTCATTAAGAGATAATTTAAGGGTTAAACGAAATAAACAAAAATGACGTTCCATTTATTGGTCTTCAACCTCAACCGTGTAAATGTGATTTCGTTTTTCTTAAATATTACATCTCTTTGAATCTGCAAAACAGTCGATAACTTGGCATTCCTCACATGGTTTCACAAGTAAATTGTGACAGAAACGGGCGCCGGCCAAAAAAGGCTCGTTATGAAAGGAATACAGTAGTTTTTCTCTTTTCTTTAATCTACTGATCTCTCTACTGTTTCAAATCAATTTGAATAGCGTTGAACACTCATATCTGTGGTACTTTTGATACAGCACATCTCTGAGTTTTGGTCACATGGAGTCTTGTAGATCCCCTTATTCGTCATCCACAACACTCACCTGTCTTAAATAAAATGAAGCCACGTAAACCCCGTGCAATAAATGATGCTTTCTTTAATTTGGAAATCAAAAGTCAACATTTATCACAAGGGAAGATAATTCCTACTACGACGAATTTCATAGTTCAAGTGGAGAGTATTGGAAATTTAAGGCAATACAACTCCAATTATATAGAAACGATGGTTTGAAAATGTGCTCATTTACAGACGCTCATAAGAATGTGGGTTCAATGACTGTCAACCCAAGCCAAAGACTATGTTTGAAATTCATTTTAAATGGTTACTTTTAACAATACCTGGCTAGTGGAGACTTCGAATGACGGCCAAATTAAGGGTCATTTCTTCTGTGTTGGTTAAATTTTTCTGACTTATATAGTGAGGGCTTGAGGGGTCTGACTCGGCGCCAATTTAAAGGGTCTTCTTTCAAGCAAGGTACTATATAACAGATCTATTCGACTCCTTTGTTGAAGAGGCGGTCCAGTCTTTTAATTAAGTTTATCTTTTTCCAATCTCGTAAAGATTTCAGTAAAAGTTTATTGCGTCTGCATATGAATTATAAGGTTTTTTAGGTCAAAAGTAATGACCACGTTACTGACCGTAATGGCACGGTTTCGGATGTGTTTCAACACAAATTTTTTACTCAACTTAATCTATATATTAAAACTATATACTTAACTCTATATCATCTAGGCACTAAAATTAAGGGTTGCTTCTAAAGCTTAATGGTATCGAGCTTTTTGTTCAGTAGGTTACAAAATTCATCTAATATGCATAATAAATGAACAGGTGTAGAGCATTATAGTTACTCTTTAAAAATATTTGCGCGCAGTGCAGACCCGATATTATCTACTCATTCTTTGAACACAACATTCTCTAATGTTACATTTTGTAACTTAGTTTCCAAATAAGCTCCACGTATATTGTTTCCTTCAGTATCTAATTCTTAGTAGGAAAGAGTTTGGCCAACGATTTCAGCTCCG